GCTGTATTTGAGGCATCTTTCAGTGTAGATACAGCTATAATGACCGTACGTTGTATTCGGGGGAAGAAGGTAGAGCTACCCCCTCAGAGATCGCATGTGCATGCGAACTCACACTGCATGAAAAACAGCATCCAAGGTACAACGTGAGGAGGTTATATCGAATCAATCTGCTACACCTTGAGACCGTTAATTCATTATTAAATACCGCCAATAACAGCACTGGGTGAAAAGAGGACTGGAAAAATTCGACAAGGCTAAACGAAAGACATCATATAACTTCTGCGACAATGCTGGCCTCGGTTAAAAGAGAAGAAAGGGAGAATCTTAAGAATACAATAAAGTGGCTGTCTTACATATCAAATTTTACGTATGGCAAGGGAGAAATGGAGAAACTTGCAAATGGAACAAAGTGGCTGTCTTACATATCAAATTTTACGTACGATAAGGGGCACCCACTGAGTTTTGGTAAAAGGCATTTATGCACAAATGCTGACGACTCACACAGTGAGTTGTCATATAAGGCATCATGCATAAAGCTGACGACGCACACGTGAAATGCATGCATCACTGTTAGGTGCGAGTCCGACAAAACGGCATGTCGAAGGCCCGTTCATTCGACAAGTGCCTCCCTCTTCATAGTATCTTTTCTTGATACTCGTTGGAAAAAAAAAAAACATTTCTCGTTTTATGCGTGTCATCCTTGCGCAGTGGCCATGCTACTCTATTCCGTACCGTTCCCAAATCCCGGGGCCGATAAGATGCTACTTGGACCTACAGGCGCGAGGTCCAAGTAGGAAAAAGAGTATTCAATTGAACGGCTGAATCTGGAAGTGAATGTGGAGAGGTGCAGAAAGTCGCTATCAAACTGTTTTTCTGCATCTGTGCACATACGACATCCATATACAGGAGCTTAATACAATCCTCTTTGCTAGTGTGACCTCCCCAGGATTGAGGCATTGCAAAAAAACTAACGGCTCCTTTCTCTTTGTGGGAAGCTGCACCTCCTGGCAAACGGGTACTGTCTGCCAACGGACAAAGGCTATCAATTACAAAATCAGATGACCGATGTGCCTACCGCTGCAAAGGTAAAACGATTTTTTGTAATACCTAAACAAGGTGGAAGTCCCCCTGTTTTTTGACATCCCTTGTCCGCCTGTTTTTTTAACACATCCCTTCCCTTTCGATTTGAATACTGCGTACGTAATACGACTTACATATGTCCACATGTAAGAATGCATCATAATGAGACGATCCTGCAGCACATTGAGACGATCCTCCTCAACGAGGACAAATGTCAAACCAAAGGGAGATAATAGACAACACTCGGCACGAATTCCAACATAAGCAGGAAATACATTCATGCATACCGACGACGCACCGCTATGATGCCTGATCCAGTGCACAGCGTTGGAATAAATTGACATCAGCAGTAAGACAAGGAAGAAAAGGACCGCACTTCAGATTCTATGGTGCTTTTGCACACATGTTCACCAAAACATTCCCGCAGGAAGACAATGCAATAGCTTCTCCGCGATTACTTGTCACAGGAAATCTCGTCAGAAGGGCTTTCAAGGGCTTACACGCAAAATAGTCACGTATCTCCGGGGAGAATTGTGAGGTCCCCGGCCTCGTCACTTTGATTTCTTTTGCAATATATTGTCAATGCTTTCCAAAAAAAAAAAAAAAAAAAAAAGCCACGTATAAATTATAACCATGACTTGTCAACGAATATGTCCGCGAAGGAGAAGGGCTTCTTCTTCTCCTCCTCTTCTAATCTCCTTGCGTTGGACGAAGTGGATATATAACTATTTGTATGAGGAATGTACCATTGCCTCACCATTTTTTATTTTTTTTTTGTACTCACCATTTTTCGTGGTAACCTACATTAGAACTACGTTCAGTGTGGCTATACGCTGTTTCATATCGATGCTCCGATACGTAAGATTACGCCTTCTCCTCCTCTTCTATTCTCCTCGCGTTGGACGAAGTGGATGTATAACTATTTGTATGAGGAATGTACCATTGCCTCGAAGGAGAACGAGAGGACACTGTAACAAATTCTGCGATACAGCGTCAACTACACGACTAACCTATGGGACTCGCTCCACTTCAAATCACTCTACATGCATTTGGGCGCTTTCCCGACCAGGTTCATTGGGACACGTGCAACATGATTTGAGGGCATCGAGTCCGGAAATCGTGTAGAGTGCTTGCTGGGTAGTGGAGCAAGGCGCGATTGCTGAAGAAATGGTGCGTCGTCTGCACCCGTATCTATTCCCCTCATCATAATGATTCCTTTTCAGTTCGTCCTTATACATCCCCAGTTTTCCACATACATACACAGGCGCACGACATGGGGCCTTCGTTAAAAAAAAAAAAGGAACAGAAAACAGAGTTCGAACTCAAGTTCCACTAATTCGCTTCGCTTTGATTTTTTTGCAACACAGACTTCCTATGCGGAATAATTTTAATGCTGAATGCTCATTGTAATTGCGCGTTCTGTGACATGCACTGTCATCGACCTCTCCTTAACTTCCTCTGCGGAGTTATCGGAATCCCCTCAGCCGGCAATGAACGAGGGCATATATAAGTTTTTTTCTTTCTGAACCGCACTTATAAATCACGTGAAAATGAAGACTTTATTAACTTTCTGTCAAACTCAAAATAACGTGGTCATAGTGAAAATACTGTGACATCCAATCTCTCTCTCTCTCTCTCTCTCTCTCTCTCTCTCTCTCTCTCTCTCTCTCTCCCACACACACTGCGGTCGTGCTGAATGAATTCCTGTTAATTAACAAATCGATGACGTTCCCTGCTATTGGAATGGTAAACAGTTCAAAACATAAACGAACAAACGCTTTCCAGTCTTCTACGATCCCGTCGCACGACTTCAGCGACTTGCAGGAGAACGAAACACCGGAGATGCATGGTTGACAAGTTGATGCTGGGTCTAATGGTCACGGTCGTTCTTCGGGACATCCGTTAAAATTGGAACGATAGAGAGAAAGGTTGATTAGTATGGCCCCTGCGCAATTGAAGATGAAACGCATATAGAGGGGAAATATACAAAAACGATGATGGCGCATAACGAGCGAAAGCCCAAAGGGTAATCTTAGCATACCTGTCCAAATACCTGCTACGTGAAGAGATCACTTCCCACAAGCCAAATGCACACTAGTACTACTAGTAGATCGGTCGTATTTACTGTCCATGCTGAATAAAATGTTAAAACTCACACATGCGCACTGTCAATAACCTGTCTAACGACAAGTAGGCAGAATACAAAGAGGGTAAAAAGCTACGTAGAGACAAGCAAAAAGCTGAACAACGAGACTGTGCTTCACACGGGAGACAATGGACCTCGCACCACTACTCTCCACTTGCAAAAAAGAAAAAAAGAAAAAAAAATTAAGTTGTATCTTTCTCTCTTCTAGCGGAATATCCATTCTCGAATTGCACATTTGGTGAGGAGTGGAGTGATACCCAATAAGTGGGACGTCACCACCTCTGCCCTGACAGCTAAAAATTCTAATGAGTGATACCCAATAAGTGGGACGTCACCACCTCTGCCCTGACAGCTAAAAATTCTAAGTCCTGAACGAAGCTATCAGCAGTACACAGGCCCACTACCGTCTTCCCGCGAATACAATGCACTGTCATTATAGCTGCATTTGGGGCAACTTTCAGTCTAGGTACAGTGATAATGTACCGTATGTTCTATTCGGGTGAGAACGGTAGAGACCTGGGCAAGAAAAGGAACGAGATGAAAAGACTCCCCTAGAGAGACCATCCCCTCATCTCTCCCATTACTTCTACTAGGAGTTCTTCGACGGTTGAAAAGCATCCCCAAGAGCAATTGCCGATCGACATCATGTACGCTTCTGCTTCACAGAGCTCAACATCATCTCAACGAGACTGAGACGGGCGCAGAAGAGTGCTTGAAAAGAGAGAAAGAAAGAGGGAGGAAGAAGACAAGAGCGATATACAGGATTGACAGCAAGCAAGGCAATGCCACCGGTACTGCAGACCGCAGGATGCGATGTGTGTGGAGAACCCTGTAGCGCACCTCTTTAAACACAAACGCGCCAGCCTCTCCTTCACTGGCAATCGAAGAAGAAGACTGCGTACTTGTACAAACTTGCACTCGTCTATGCAGATGATGGCATGCATCTACACAGCATCATGCACTCGATGCAGAAGCCCTCGCCCGAACAACAGGCGCTGCTCCTCTCTCACTTCGAGGTGAGTTGCTAGCTCCCCCCTATGATGCGGACTACCTCAGCAGCAATTCAATCAATAGATAAAGCAGCGCCGACGAGAAGCAAGGCGCGGAGACGCAAAGTCGAAAGGAGAGGAGAGAGGCGAGACAACTAGCATGAACCGCTTGGGTCCTACCCCGCGTCCTAACGTTCATGATCTGTCTCTTATACACATCTAGATGTGTATAAGAGACAGTTCCAATGACACTCATGATATTCCAATGACACTCGTGATATTCCAATGACACTCGTGATATTCCAATGACACTCGTGATATTCCAATGACACTCGTGATATTCCAATGACACTCATGATATTCCAATGACATTCCTATGACACTCCAATGACATTCCTATGACACTTCAATGACATTCCTATGACACTCCAATGACATTCCTATGACACTCCAATGACATTCCTATGACACTCATGATATTCCTACGACACTCCGTTAGCACAAAATATGTAGGAAAAAGAGGAGAGGTACATTGAGGTCAGTAAGATACCTGAGAGTATACCGAGAGGGAGCGCCATCAAAAGAGAGACAGAGAGAGAGGAAGACGAAGAAGAGTGAGGGAAACGATGACAAAACGGATGAAAATACTACCATCTTCCCCCGAACGCAATGCACCCTCATTTTGGCGGCACCGGACCGGACAGGTAGTTTCTATACATTCGTTATAAGGGTACGTCGTTGTGATCGGGGGCAAACATGCTAGTAATCGCTGAAGATATACTCACCATCTTCTCTTCACGACGTTAAACCGGTCACGGTAAACTCCATCCTTGATGTAGATCGTGACGGGAGCAGAGCTCTTGGTGCCGAGGGATGCCACTGCCTCCGATGGCAGCTTGTAGTCCCCAGATCCATCCAGAGCAACCGTTATCGTCCTCGCGGGGCCACCAGGTGGCGGCTCGGTAACCTCCACCAGAACGCGTTCCATCCTCTCTCTATGAGTCTTAAGCTCACGTCTGAAGAAATGCAATGAGTCGAGAGGTCTCATGTGAGAGCCGGTTCTAGCGTTTACCGATGGAGCTAGCTCACACGCGTAGAGGGCGAGCAGAAGGGTAGCAACCAGCATCATGGCCGAACATGATTCAGCAGCGGCCATGGAGTCGCAGCGGCCGCTGCGGAACAGACGCCACCCAGCCATGGCGGCGGCTCCCCGCTGCAGGCGCCGAAAGGCAGCGGGAAAGAAAAAAAAAAACAACAACAAACCGACCGCCGGAGTCAGCGGCAAGTCCGGATCAACAATGGAAGTGTTCAGCTGCTCCCCTCTACATCTCGTCGTTCCCGGTGGTAATGTAATGTTTCGCGAGGAAGGGGAAACCAACCAACGGCACGACGCTCTCAAAAGTGAGAGACCGTGACGCGTTGGCGCCAACCAGATGAAGACAGAATAGGGAAAGGAGGGGAGAGCCTTCACTTTTCAAGTCGGGCTCGGCGAGCTACGAAGGCAGAAACAGCGCGCGGCGGTACACGCATCTCGGTCAGAGCGCGCGAGTATGGGCCTATTCCATGGCTCACCATTCTACACAGCACTTGAAAGCCGAGCTGGACTAGGTGCATCGGAAACGTCCAGCGTTTTGAATGTATCGGGACAATTCATCTGTTGAAATCTGGAAGTGGAGGTAGGCTCGATGCGAGATGTCAAAAAGAAAAAGGAAAAAAAAGTGAGAGGCCACGGATGCCGTAGTGGGAGGGCGCGTGGTGCGTCGACCGAGGGTCGCCCATCTGCATTCGCCGATATGGAAGAATGACCGCTACTGCTACGGAATACTCACGTTACGCAAATTTATTTATTTAATTTATTTTTCTTTCTTGCCTTCTCCCCATCGGCGGGGGACAGCCATATATTTTTCTCTCCCATATAATATATATATCGTCAAATAGAACTGCCCGGTAAACCGTAGGCAGAGAGGGAGAAGAGGACAACAAATGAGGGGCTGTGACAAACTGTATATATAATATAAATAATATATATATAATATATAAATAATATATATATAATATATATCTATATGTAATATATATTTTCTCTCACCTCGCATACTCGATGAACTGCCCGTCCTGCCATGTCGCGTAAAAAATTGAGAAACCACAAAAAATCGCAACAACTTCAAAAGTAAGAAACGTATACAGAATAATGGCACCTTGGTGTCATCATTACCATCAACGCAGGCCAATGGAGCGCCCTGGAGGGGGGCGCACGGTCTAGACAGTACTTGAATGCCTAGGCCCCGGACCTCAACGGCCCACGTTTCACACGCGGAAGCGCAAGCATTGTGTGCCGCGCTGGTTCCCCGCCTCGCCACCCGCTCGCCAGCTGGCTTTGGCGGCCGATGCAAAAGTCAAAGTGGGGGACACTGTTCAGTTTTGTTAACTCTGACCAGTATTCGAAATCAGGTCTCCGATCGCAGTTCATGGCTGCAGCGGCCGGGCCACATGGGCTAGGGACTATTCGCCTTGTGTCCTCCGTCCAGTGATTTGGCCAATATCCGCAGGATATCCAAACGGGGATCACAAAGGGGAGATCGATGAAGAGTCCCACGCACCTGAACATGTATGACCGTAGATCACAAAGATCGACAGCCAGCACGGAAGAACCGGGGCAATCGGTAGGATAATAGAACGGTGCTTTCTTGCAAAAGAAAAGAGGGAGCAACTGGAGCCTTGCGCCGCCTTTGTTTCATGAGAAAACTACGGTGCAGTCTGGGGGCGTACGGGCGGCGGAGCGCTACAGGGAGCACTCCGCCGCTCCTGTAGCGCTCCGCCACCCGGCGTTTGGACGCGACGGCGGGCCTCGCAGAGAGAGCAGGAACGAGGAGCGGTCGGAGCGCTGCGACGGCAAGATTGACGCGAGGAGGAGGCGGGCGGGCGCGACGGCTGGTCTTGCGGAGAGAGCAGGAACGAGGAGCGGCGGGAGCTGTGACGGCAAGATTGACGTGAGGAGGTGATGGGAGAGGGTGTGTCTGGACGTCGTTGGGCAGTGCATCTCACATCAAGGTCTTAGTGGAGAGGAGGAATACGGTGGGTGGGAGAATAGGGGAGGTAAGGGTTTCACGGGCTGGAAGGAGAGGGCTACTAGGAAGAAGGGGGAGGATGGCATTCGCAACGTGGACTCCCCCTCATCTCTTCGGGCTACCTGCGAGGGGCGGCTGGCGGGCTCAGCGGCTTAATCTCGCGACCTGGTTTGGTATGCTGCGACGACAATCCTAGTTGCAGTCCTATTATCATCATCGTTCGGTCTATTTGGTTGGTTGAATGGTTCTCAATCACAGGCGGCCGAGTTGCTTGAGAAGCCGATGAAGCGAGGAGGTGAGGTTTGGAGAGAGGGGGGGTGTTTTTAGGGTTGTCAAGGGTAAGTTTCCTCTTCAGTTTGGCCTTGATGGATTCTTAACGAGGAGATGCTTAGATAGTGTTTGTCTGTCTCGATATCTGTCTGATTTGCTACGCACCTACAACTAGTATTGTTGAACTTGTCGTTCTTATTTCTTCTTCTGGATATGGAATTCTTGATTTTGTATTACTTGTATGATCATTATAAGTCGATTCATCCAATGATGATAATCCAATATTGGTGCCATTGGTGTATCTTTTTTACGTTGTAATCCTTGTTATTCATATGATAATTTTCTTTGTTTAGCATCTTCTTGATCCACGGTCTGAGCGTTGTTCTGATTAGCATCTTCCTGATCTACGGTCTGAGCGTTTTTCTGAACTCTATGTTCGGGAAATCAGTGTCGAAAGTCCGGATGGACGTCATAATTGTTTCTCTATTGCGTTTTTTTCCTATTTGGATTTTTCAAGACATCCAATTTATATTTGATCTAATAAATTTTCTTATTCCCAGTCTTATTTGTAGCTCGATGAATTTTCTATATTCGATCTGAGCTATTTTTTTTTTCTGATTTCAATGGTAATTAGTTCTTTCTCAGTAATTAGTCCTGGCACTTGTTTCAAGTTTTTGTCGACACCTTTTAATCTGTTTCGAGGGTATGAAAACTTGAGGCTTAACGTAATCTTTTTTGGGTTTTGGGCTCATCAGTATTGATCGGGGTTATTTCCTCAGGTGTGGAGCTTCTCCCTGCGAGGGCTACACAAGGTGGGAGGTGTCGTCCTTGAGAGGGTAGGGGCGGTATTGTGGGATTGTCCTTTTCTGGGCCGTGCTGATCTTCGGGTCGAGTTAGCATGGCGGTTGGGGAGAGGGGACAAAGGGTGCTAAATATAGCATGTTGAGAGGAGAGCGGGCTGTTTCACTGAGAGGGGGTGAGACAGGAGGAAAGGGGGAATTCCAGCTCTGCGGGTGCATACTTTAGGGGGAATTGTATGCTATTGAGGGAGCGGGAATGACCGCTTAGAGGGTTGTTCTGAACTGGGGCCGGTATGGTGAGGGGGCACCTTCCGGCGGAGGCAGTGCAAGGACAGAGGGACGTTTTTTAAGGAGGATTAATCTCCGTTTTTTATTGCGAGTCCTTTATGAACAAGTTGAGCCTCGAATGGACACCGAAGCCACCACAGGACGAGGGGGTATTTTCCCTCCCTTCCTCTCATCTGGTGGAGGCAGAAGGGTTTCCTCCCTGTCTTAGTCTGAGATGAAATTCATTGAAGGAGGGTAGGAGGGTTAGAACTGTAGGATGGATTTTAGTCAAGAGGCCTCTAATAGAGGAATGGCTGTTAGGTAAGTACGTCAGAAGAACGAAGTTGGAACGACATAGGCCGGTGGTGGAGTTGTGGCTTTGTGACCTGGGGGGGAGCTTAAGGCTTGTGGAGTTATGCCGTGAGTGGAAGGCATAACCAGATCGTTCGACGTAGCGATGCGCCGGGGTATTAACCCTGTGACCTTAGGGGTTTGCTGCTATGGGAAGTGTCGAGGGAGGAAGGCACTTCCTGTCCGTCAGAGTCGGGTTGGTTGATACTGGGGAAGGTTGCGGTGCCCTGTTACCCTAGCATAAAGGGGGTATGAGACCAAGTGAGTTCTGGTACGAGAACTGAAAGCCTGCGCGGACTTTCCGTCTGTTGAGGGGGAATTTTAGGATAGTAGGTTGTTTTAGGTTTTGACCCCCCGCTCATACTCCAAGCCTTCTAGATATTCTAAAAAATAAAATGACTTAGTGACTTTTATGGTAGGGGGAGGGGGAGAAGGAGATGGTGGGATATCATGCGTCCTGCTAGTGAGGGGGCTAAATGGTAGGATGGAAATAGGGTACAGCTGCAGTGGAGTTGGTGGCTCTGCTGTAGTAAATCTTGCCGGAGTGGGGATAGGGGATCGACTGGGTGTCTGAGTCTTTTCTTGTAATTGTGTATTTCCTTTTTCTTGAAGAGGTGAATGGGATAAGTAGATGGCTGGATAACAAGCGTTCTACTAGTAAAGGGGCTAGCTCGTAGGACGGGAATAGGGCATAACAGCGGCGGAGATGGTAACTCTGCTGCAATAAGTCTTGCCGGAGGGTGGTGAAGAGGATTGAGGGGGGGGCTTGAGTCTTTTTCTGAATTTTTCCGAAGTCTGACGTAGTAACTTGCCAAGTATTTCAATTTCCAAATTTTCTTAGCCAAGTCGAACGATGGCCCTGGTATCTCAATTTCTTAAAATTCTATGTAAATTTTCATATGGCACGCTGGGCCCGGTTCCCAGCACGTATTGCTCCCCACGAATAGATTGCAGCTTTGTTCCCTAATATATATATATATATATATATATATATATATATATATATATATATATATATATATAT